TATGCCAATGACGCTGCCTCTTACACCGCCGCCTCCTCATTTGCCAATGACGCTGCCTCATACACCGCGGCCACCTTATTGGTCACTGCTGCCCCATCCTCGTACGTGGTCGTCGCCATTGCATCATCCGTACACCACCTCCATCTCATACACCACCATTGCCTCATACGCATCGACCACCGCTGACTTATAACCTGTCACCGCCTCCTCAGCACCTCATATGCTACCGCCGCGTCATACAGCGCCTCCGCCTCATACGTGACGCCACCGCGTGTGTTCACCACCTCATACTCCACCCTCACCGCCCCAGGCCCCGCCACCGCCGCTGCCCCCTTCATACACCAACGTCACCTTATACCGGCGCCGCCGCCTCATACGCTTCCACCACCGCCGACCTATAAGTATTACTTTTTCAATTATTTTGTTAATGTTTTATTATTTGTACGTGGTAAATATGATCCATGACTACATTGAACATTGATTAGAAAATTAAGTAGAGAGTTAAATCTAAGACAGAATATACATTAAACTAATATCGACGTATTATGTATCACTTTAGAACCAGGATATTTTACTTCGAGATGGTTCAATGTTTTAAACATCGATTTTTATGTCGATGTTTTCATCTACATCGAGAACATTTTAGTACTGTATCGAAGTGTCGATGTATGGATGTTTTAGTAAAATTAGCCATTTCTACATTCGCCGTCGCGTCAGTATTCTCCGATTTGAATAAAGAGATTCTGCCATATCATCAGCTGAGACGCGGCCATCCAATCGGGAGCTTCAATACCAAAAACGACGAAGCTTCGTATCGGACAACTGTTTGTCAGCCGATGGTCTGCCAGACGTCGCTCTGTTGAAATGGACGCATATACACAGGGTTACCCTGCCACCCAAGCACCACCTAATAGCCTCATGGTGACGGCGGGGGTCTCCCAAGTTGATAAGGACCTCGGAATTGTAGGCACAAAAATGACATGATTTAGGCCAGGGGTGTCCAACTTGCAATGCCCTTAAACTCTTCAATAAGTTTGCGGACCATATTTTCGTTTTTCGGGCGATCTGTATTCTCTAGCTCGGCACTTTGCCCGGATGCCCACCTGAAGCGGTGCGTGTGTGCGTGCGCGCGCGTGTTTGCGCGCGCGTGTTTGCGCGTGTGCGTGTGTGCGTGTGTGTGTGCGTGTGTGTGTGTGTGTGCGTGCGTGTGTGTGCGTGTGTGTGTGCGCGCGCGCGTGTGTGCGTGTGTGTGTGTGCGCGTGTGTGCGCGCGTGTGTGTGTGCGTGCGTGTGTGCGTGATATCTGGGCATACCTTGCATAACGCGGTGAAACGCATCGGGATGATTTTGAATTTCTGCATTTACTATAAAAATATTCTTAACTTAATTTCAGATCAAAAGGGTTGTTGCCCGCCAAGGGCGCATGCGCTAGGCTCACAATTCTTTCGCCCGACATGTATGTAAGGGACTTTCACGACTAAATAACCTTTCGCGGGCCACAAGAAATGGAACCGTGGGCCGCCAGTTGGACAACCCTGATTTATACAGTTAAATTAGGATATAAAGTGAATAAAGTAGGCACTATGAGGCATGAAAAGTGAGGCAATTAAAATATATTGCAAAATTATTAAATCAGACATTTAAAAATCATTCGACTAAAAATATATGTTTCTGGCATCTGAAACTAATCACAACAGGATTAATTTACGCATTTTTGTTATTCAGGGAAGTCAGATACTTCGTTTACATGTTTAGGAGTGACCACCCGCATATTATTATTTCAGTTTCGTAATTAAACAGCTCGGTATATAATCAATATTCGAACCGAATAACTTTGTCACACACACACACATTCATATACACACACATTCAAATACACACATACAAACATACACACACACAAACACAGAAGAAATATCGAAATGACCCATTTTTCTTTCAAGAGGTTCTAGACCTGGGCATATTTTGTAAGATTAGCCTTTCTGCTCTGTCTTTCCTCGCCCAGATTGCGTACACGAGACGCCGCGGCGATAAGCCTAAACCTGTCAACTGCGCAGCTGCACAGGGAAAGGGTGCAATTGCCCAAGTGCGTGCTGATCGGAGACGAGCGTGGTATCTTCTTTATTTTGACTTAAGTGAGACTTTCGATGCGTAGTCGAAGTTCTCGCTGAGGGAATGTTCTCGTTTTGGGAAAAGTATGTGCGGCTTGGTACAACAAATTAAAAAAATGAGTAATGAAAAGATAATTCTTCATAATTATTTATTTTAGGGGGGGGATGAAAACAGGCATCAAGAGCCCTTTCAGGACATTTTAGGTACTATTAGTTGCTTTCAGTAAATACATTTTTTTCATGAATCGTAAACATCTGCAATATTTTGCCCAACTTCCCAGAGGAACTAATTAGGCTTAAAATCCGAGGTCTGTTGATGAGATGGGGCGGCGGTGGCCTCCAATGTTGTGGCTGCCTCTTGAATGTCTGTTACTATGACACTCGTCGTCCAAAAACGGAACTGTCTTTCCTTACACCTGTTTAGAATTTAGGTTTACGTGTAGATTTTCTTCCGTCCAAATGGCAAATGCCGAATTCTCTTGTGATAGTTGCGGTCGTCTAATTTTGCCTAAAATGTGGTCTTGTAGGTTGTTTACATGTCGAGAACGTGTGTTAAACGACCGCTGCTGCAGCTCGATTTTTTTCTGCATTTATATCAGATTTACTTTCCTATGTTTTTACTTACCATACTATGTACTTACGTGGTATTGCATTTTGGAGTGGAAAGTTTTTTTTTGCTCAGAAAGCATTTTGATTATTTTTCCCCCTCAGATCAAAGGACGCTTACAAATGGCGCAAGTCACTTTTTCGTTGAACTGTTAATTTTCTGTAAATCATCTATTTGGCGGCTTCCTGCAACCACAATTCAGGAGATAGATTTTTATCCTGGGCAAGTTCTATTCTTCATAGGCAGATGTTCAAATATGTGTAATTATTTTAATGTACTTTTCGTGAAATTTGTCTGAAACAGGCAATTTTTAAATAATCATTGATAAAAAATAAACCCCGTTTTTTTCAATCAAAGGGTTGCAATCTTGTCACAACTTGAAAAATGAAGTTTCGAGATAACAGTGATTAAAGTTGTAAGTTGTAGTGAAATTACAGGTTTCACGCGCTTAATAACTGGTCCGTTAATGGGTAAGCATTACCAAAAGGCTTAATTGGTGTTCTGATTATAATAATTATAAAATGTTTTAAAGTGAGTGTCAATCAAAATTGTGTTTGTCAAGTTGTGCCGAATTTGCAGCCCATGAAAGTTTTAAGGTTTTTCTGGAATAGGGCAACAAACGCGTATGAATAAAACGCGGTTCCCAGACCCATATTCGGGGATTTTGGCATATTCGAAAGAAAAAAGGAAAATATTAATCAATATAATAAAATACAACAATGAAAAATTGCAATGTTGATTATAATTTTATGATAACGAAATATATCATAAAAATTGTATTTTAAACCGAGGTAACGTACAATTTATTGAAAAAAAAAAAAAAGAAACTAGCAATGTGCGCGTGTTATATGCTCTTGAACAGGGGCGGATCCAGAGACGAATTTTGGGAGGGGATATTCAAAATGTTTTCGTCAAAAATGTCATATTACAGATTTTATAAAACGTCGAGAGCTACTCTCAGCTCTAGCTGCGATACGATTCGATTCTTTTTAATAATAACCAGAACATATTTTTGTCGTGCCAAGTTAAAATGAATGGTTAGTGCAAAATTGCAAGGTGTAAACATCGCTGCCCGTGGCTGCGCCCGTCTGAAGTGCAGGAGGAGGCAAGTGGCGCGCTGCCACCGCGCCCCGCGCGTCTGCCCGCCCGCCGCCTGCTGCCCGGGCCACTCAACCCGGCGCCCGCCCGCCCG